GCCAGGGAGGAATAAGAGAAAGGTCTGTCTTGGGGGCCCTTTGGAGGGGCCCCCAAGGGGCAAACTGCAGCAGAAGGGGGGTCCCCCCAAGGGTGGAGGCAGCAGAGGTAGGGGGGCCCCCCAGGAGGCCCCTACTCAGGGGGCTTCCCAAGGGGGTCCCCACGTGGGGGGCCCCCAGGTAGGGGTTCCCCAAGGAGTCAGAAGAGCTGGAGCTCCTGGGGGCCCCCTTGAGGGCCCCCAGGGGGCCCCCAGAAGAGGGGCCCCCCACAGCCAGCCCAAGGCCTGGGGGGCCCCTGGGTGGGCCCCCGGGAGAAACTCCACTTAAGGGAAAAGGGTACCCTCTGCTGCAGTTGCTGCAGCGGGGGGCCCCCTCGAAAACGCCGGGGAGGGGGGCCCCCGAGGCCCTCGGGGGGGGGCCCCCTAGGGCCCTTGGAGGGGGGCCCCCTAGGGCCCGTGGGGGAGGGCCCCCAAAAGCCCTCAAGGGGGGCCTCGCCATCCCTGTGGGGGCCCCCTGGTGTTGCGGGTTTCGGGTGTATGTACACCGGGATCTATTCGACGGGATAGAAAATAAAAATTAATTTTCTTCTTTTTAATTAAATTTTAATCTTATTTGATTCTCTCAATAAAGGCTTCTGAAGTCCCAGCAAAGGCAGCTTCCCCAGATCAGGGGGCCCCTCTGGGGGCCACCAGGGGCCCCCTGGGGCCCCAAGGGGCCTCCTGGGTACATAGAAGACCCGGGGGCCCCCCGGGGGCCCCCAGACTGGACTCATTAGGGTTTTTCTTGGCAAATCACTTGAGTTTAATTGATTTTTATTTAAAATTTTGAATTTAATTTAATTTTAAAATGTATTTCAGAAGAAAATGGCGGCGGTGGGGCCTCTGGCTGTGAAGTGCTCGGGTGTCTGTACACCTCAGCAGCACAGACGGCAGCTGTAAAAAAAAATGAATTTAAATTATTCATAGACTTTTACATCACACTTCTATGTTTTCAATCTTGATCTGCTTCTTTCGTTGCTGCTGCTGCTGCTGCTGCTGCTGCCACTGCTGCTGCTGCCACTGCTGTTGCTACTGGTGCTGCTGCTGCCGTACCGCTGCTGCTGCTGCTGCTGCTGCCGCCTCGGTCACTCTAGCTCACTGGGACGAGAAAAGAAAACTAATCAATTAATTCTTAAATTCTTTTTTCAAATAAAGAACTAAAGTTAAAGAAGCTGCGGGTGGCTGGTGCCGAGGGAAAGAGGCAGCAGCAGCTGCTGCTGTTGCTGCTGCTGCTTTCGCTGCTACTGCTGCGGTGGCTACGCTGCGGTGGATAGTGCTGCTGCAGTTGCTGCTTTTGCGCCGTTGCAGCTGCTGCTCTTGCTGCTGCTGCTGTCTGTTCCTGCTACTGCCGCTGCAGTTGCTGCTTCGGCTACTGCATCAGCTGCTGCGATTGTGGCAATTGCTGCTGCTCCTGCAGTTGCTGCTTCTCCTGCTGCTGCAGCTGCTGCAGTTGCTGAAGTTGCTGCTGCAGCTGCAGCGTAGCCGCTTCACTCCCAGAGGCGCCTTCTGTGCGCGGCGCTGTGTGTTGCTGCTGCGCCCTCATGGGCTTCCGCCGCAGCCTGCTGCTGCTGCTGCTGCTGCTGGTCTATCTCTGCGAAAATAGCAGCAAGGTCTTTTAAAATCAACTTATGAACAGCTAAAGGACACAAATTTGCTGCTGCTATGCTGCGCCAATAAGAATAAGAAGCAAAAGATTTGTAGCCTTTGTACACCAGAGCCTGCAGCTCCGCCGACTCGTACACCTCAGCCCCTACCCGGAGCAGCAGCAGCAGCAGCAACAGCAGCAGCAGCAGCAGCAACAGAAGCAAACGGACAAAAAAAGCTTATTCATTTTCCCATTATTTGGCATTTATTATTGTTATTTATTGTTATTATTATTTATTATTATTTGTTATTATTTATTATTTATTATTATTTGTTATTTATTATTATTTGTTGTTTATTTGTTATTTATTTATTAGCAGCATTGCACAGACACAAAGTGGCTGCTTGGCAGCAGCAGCAGCAGCAGCATGTGAAACCCAACAATTAAATTAAACACAAAAGAACTAATTTATTTATTATTATTTATTATCATTATATATTAATAAAAAAATAAATGATTTGTTGCTTTATAAATTGTTTTAGGATAAACTAGTCAGTTGCTGCTGCTACTGCTGCTGCTGCTGCTCGTGCTGCTGCTCGTGCTGCTGTCACTACTGCTGCTGCTGATGCTCCTATTTCTGTTGCTGCTGCTGCTGCTACTGTTGCCCCTGCTAGCTCTGTTGCTGCTGCTACTACGACTGCTGCTGCTGCTGCTGCTATTGCTGCTTCTGTTTCTGCTGCTACTGCGACTGCTGCTGCTGCCGTTGTTGCTTCTGCTGCTGCTATTGCTGCTCCTGCTCCTGCTGCTACTAATGCTGCTGCTGATGCCGCTGCTATCGCTGCCACTCCTGCTGCAGATGCTGCTGCCCCTGCTACTGTCGCCGCTGCTGCTGCTGCAGCTAATGCTGCTGCAGCTAATGCTGCTGCAGCTAATGCTGCTGCAGCTAATGCTGCTGCTGCTAATGCTGCTGCTGCTACTAGTGCTACTGCTACTACTAATACTGCTGCTGCCTGCTGCTGCCGCTGCTACCACTCCTACTCCTGCTGCAGATCATGCTGCTGCTGTTGCTGCTACTGCTGCTGCAGCTACTGCTGCTGCTACTGCTATCGCTTCCAATACTGCTGCTGACACGGTGCTGCCGCTCCTGCTCCTGCTGCTCGTGCTGCTGCTGCTGCTGCTGCTGCTGCTACTGCTTACCAAAGCCTTCTCTTTTTGCTGCTTCTTCGGGTTTAATGTCCAAAAAGTAAACTCGATCTGGAGCCAAAAGACCCTTTTCTGTGCTTCTTGCAAAAGCCTCAGAAATGGGTACAGGGGCCCCCACGGGGCCCCCAGACTCCGGCGCTGCTGCTGCTGCTGCTGCTGCGCGGTGGTTTGCTGCGGTGGTCGAGTAGACAACGCCTACAGCAGCAGCACAAGTGCCAGCAGCGGCAGCAGCAGCAAGAAATCTGGAAAAGCAAATACATTGTTTGATCGAAAAATGCTGGAAAACAAAACAAATAAAACAAATAAAACAAATAAAATGAAGCAAATGAAGCAAAGAAAATAAATAAAATAAACAAAATAAAACAGTAAGACAAATAAAACAGACACACAAATTAAACAAGATGAACAAACAAACAGAACAAATAAAATAAAATAAAACGAAAAGAGCAGACAAATAAAACAAAACAAATAAAGCAAATCAAATAAATAAAATAAAACAAATAAAGGACTAAAATGAAACAAGTAAAACGAATGGGACAAATAAAACAAATAAAACAAATAAAACAAACAAATAAATAAATAAAATGAAACAAATAAAACAAAATAATATAAACAACTAAAACAAAGCATATAAACAGCTAAAACAAAACAAAAAAGAAATAAATAAAATAAAACAAACAGATAAAATAAAACAAAATAAATAAAACAAAATAAAAACAAAATAAATAAAAAAAATAAAAAAATAAATAAATAAAACTGACCCGAAAAAGAATACCTGTCTGCAACAACAGCAAAGCCAGCAGCAAGCCACTTTTCAATTTGCTGCTGCTGCTCCCAGCGGTTAGCAGCAAACAGCAAGTGCAGCACGTGGGGCTCCACAGCTGCTGCTTGCTGCAGCGCAGCATCTATTAAAGACCCCACAGCTGAGCTCCGCTCTGCACAAACCCTAAACCCTAAACCCTAAACCCTAAACCCTCAGGCTGCGGCTGCTTTGGCTTTATTGATAAGGGCTGCTGCCGAGAGACTTCAGCCAGCAGGGTCCTTAGCAGGCAGCAGCAGCAGCAGCAGCAGCAGCGAAGACAGTAGGAGCAGCAGCACTAACGACAGCAGCGACGGCAGCAGCAGTGATGGCAAATGCAGCAGCAGCAGCAGAAAACCATGCAGCACCAGCAGCAGAAGTGAAACGAGTAGCAGCAACAACTCATGTAGCAACAGTAGCAGCAGCAGCGAAGCTGGCAGCAGTAACGGGAGCAGGCGCAACAGCAGCACGACCAGCAGGATGAGCAGGAGCAGCAGGAACAGCTGCAGCAGCAGCAGCAGCAGCTACAGCAGCAGCAGCAGCAGCGGAGTAGGCTGCTAACCTGGGAAGCGAATAAGTTTGGCTTTGACACCATCTCTCGAAAGTTTTTCAAAAAGCATTTTTGCCTGAGTTGATTTCCCTGATCTGTAGAAGAGAAAAAAAAGCGGGTATTGAGGTGTACGTACACCTCAGGTGCTGGCTTGGGGTGTGTAGGCACCTCGAGCGCCGCAAATGCGAATTTTTGGAAACAAATGCTTCAAAATCAAATCTTAAATGCAAATTAATGTTTATAAAACAAACAAAGTCTATATTTTTGTACAATATATCGATTTATTGCGTCCATGAAGTGTTAAATGCGAATGAAATAATAAATGCATGCACTGGTGCTTCAAGTTGCACGAAGTTGGGGTGTACATACACCTCAACGCAGCGCCAGCAGCAGTAAAAAAAGTTCCAGAAATAAAACAGAATATGAAATGAAAAGTTTATCATTCGAATGAAAACAAAACAAAAACAATTCAGAAACTGTTCGTTATGAGATTTTTCGAAAAGAAATGAAGAGAAATAAATCAAAAATGCATTTTTACGCTTTTTTCAAAGTTGAATTCATGCGGGGGCTCGACAGTGAACTCAACAACAAATAAACGAATGAAAAAACAAAAAAAATAAATAAACAACAAATGAATAATTAAATAATTAAATATTTAAATGGGTGAATTAAATAAGTAAATAAATCAAATCGAACACTTCACCTGTCGAGACCCTCGAAGACAATGAAGACACCCCGCTTCGGCGGCTCCAGTTTTTCTTCTTCTGTTTCCATTTTCAGTTTAAAATAAAATTAAATAAATTAAATAAATTAAATAAATTAAATAAATAAAAATAAATAAAGTAAATTCCAAAAGAAAACAACAATTGGCCTTAAAAGCCCGAGACGCGCAGTGACGGATTTGCTGCTGCTGCCAAAAGTGAAAAAAAATCAAATTTCTTTCTTTTCTTTATTTCACCTTATTG